GAATGTTTTTTGGTCTTTTTGTGACTGCCTTCTTTTACCTACCAAGTTTTCTTTTTTTTAAAATGTATTTAGTAGAGGGTCTCAGAGTCTCACTACACAGATTGGACTTGTAGTGATCCTCCTGTTTTCAGCCTGCTGAGCGCTGGGATTACAGGTGTGCACAACCACGCCCAGTCTTGGTGGCTGTCTCCGCATGCCCCAGGGGTGAGGCCAGCATGGCATGCCAGGGATTAAACCCAGTCCCTGCATCTGCCTAAGCATCGGAGCTATCTGGCTGGCCCACCTACCATGTTTTCAAAGTTCACCATGTAGATTGTGTCAGTAGTTCATTCTTTTTTATTATTAACATTTCATTGTATCAATATATCGTTTTGTTTATCACTTGATGGTCATTTGGACTATTTCCACTTTGGGTTGTTAATAGCAGTGTTGCTGTGAACATTTGTTCAGACCTTTTTATGTAGATGTTTTCTCTTGATTATATATGTAGAAGTAGAATTGCTGGATCATATGGCAACAATTTAAGTTCTTTAAGAAACTGCGATTTTCCAGATTAGCTGACTGATTTTACATTCCTACCAGCAATGCATAAGGGCTCTGATTTGCTCATGTCTCTGCCAATACTTGTTGCCTGCCTTCAATTCTAGCTTGCTTAGTGAATGTGAAATGACACCTCACTGGTTTTCAATTCCATGTTGACTAATGATGTTGAGTGCCTTTGCATACACTAATTGACCAGTGTACATTTTCTTTGAAAATAGTTCATTTGAATCATTTGACCAAGTTTTTCTCCTATTTCAATGCTAGTTCTATATTAAATAAATGATTTGCAAAGATTTTCTCCCATTCTATAGATTATCTTTTTATTCTGTTGATGGTGTCCTTTGAAACACAACAGTTTTTAATTTTGATGAAATATCATTTACCTGTCTTGTTTTCTTCTGGTGTCATGTCTTAAGGCTTTGCTTAACTTAGGGTCAGAGAAATTCACTCCTATGCTTTTTTCCAGTAGTTTTATAGTTTTAATAGGAGTTGTAAGTCAAAAGACATTTAGCTCTAAGATCTGTTTCTAGTTTGTTTTTGTATAAAGTATAAGGGAAAGATGTAGCTTCTTTTTTTACTTTTAGCTGTCCAGTTTTCCCAGTACCATTAATTGAAAAAACTATTCTTTTCCCTTAAGTTGTCATGGCAGATTTGTAAAAAAAAAAAACAAATCAACTGACCATGCCTGTGAACATGTAAACGTCTGTCTTTGTATTCTCAGAGCTCTTAAGGTGTGATAGGAGGATGCTAGTGATCAAACCCAGGGTCTTGTGTGTGCTAGACAAGCACTTTCCCACGGAGCTATATCCCCAGCCCCTTGATTAA